GACATTTTGGTCTATTCCCGAGATGTTGATCAACATAAGGAGCATTTGAGGATTGTGCTAGAGACTCTTCGCCGCGAGAAGTTGTATGCAAAGTTCTCGAAGTGCGAATTCTGGCTGCAGCTTTTGGCATTCCTTGGCCACATTGTGACAGCTCGAGGCATTGAGGTGGATCCCAGCAAGATCGAGGCGGTGAGCAAGTGGGATACGCCAAGAAGTGCCGCGGATGTTCGTAGTTTCCTGGGGCTAGCAGGATACTACAGGAGGTTTATCGAGGGATTCTCGAAGATAGCCCAGCCGCTGACCAACCTTACGAAGAAGGCCGTGAGGTTCGATTGGAGTGCTCAGTGCGAGGAGAGTTTCCGAGAGTTGAAGAGGAGACTCACTACAGCACCGGTTCTAGCCATACCCGACCCTACTTTGGAGTTCACCGTCTGTAGTGATGCTTCGAAGATGGGTTTGGGTTGCGTCCTTATGCAGCAAGGGAAAGTCGTCGCCTATGCTTCGAGGCAGTTGAAGCCTCACGAGCAGAACTATCCCGCTCATGATCTTGAGTTGGCCGCTGTTGTCCATGCATTGAAGATTTGGAGGCACTATCTCTATGGAGGCAAGTGCGAGATCTTTACCGACCACAAGAGCTTGAAGTACATTTTCACTCAGAAGGAGTTGAACATGAGGCAGCGTAGGTGGTTGGAACTGGTCAAGGACTACGATTGCACCATTAGCTACCACCCTGGGAAAGCTAACGTGGTGGCCGACGCCCTTAGTCGGAGGAGCCATGGCCAGTTGTCGTGCGTGTTCACCCAGCAGGATGTTCTTCTTTGGGAGTTCGAGCGCTTGCAGTTGGAGGCAGTGGAGTCGACTTCCTCAGCCGGGAGCGTGTTGGCTTCTTTGGTTGTGGGACCGACTCTTCGAGAGAGGATAGTTGCCGAGCAACCGAATGACCGTTTCCTATGCCGGATGAGGGAGTTGGCAGCAGCCGGTAGAATTGGTGGATTCGCAGTCGCACCCGATGGAGCCTTGGTCTTCGAGGGTAGACTTTGTGTTCCGAAGGTGTGGGAACTGCGGAGAGAGATTTTGAAGGAAGCCCATAGTGCCACGTACACCATCCATTCTGGTAGCACGAAGATGTATCAGGACCTGAGGAAATCGTTCTGGTGGCGATGCATGAAGAGGCAGACGGCAAAGTTTGTGGATGGGTGCCTGGTGTGTCAGCAAGTGAAGGCTGAGCGCCAGAAACCGAGAGGATTGTTGCAGCCTCTGGAGGTTCCCCAGTGGAAGTGGGATTGCATCGCCATGGATTTCTTGGTTGGATTGCCGAGATCAAGGAGCGGGTGTGATTCGATTTGGGTGATAGTGGATCGCCTCATTTTCTGCCTGTCCGGATGACCATGAAGGCGAGTGATTACGCCGAATTGTTCGTCAAGGACATTGTCAAGCTTCATGGAGTGCCCGTGGATATTGTTTCGGATCGAGATGCCAAGTTCACGTCCCAGTTCTGGAGGACGTTGCACCGAGCCATAGGGACGAGGTTGGAGTTTAGTACAGCCTTTCACCCCCAAACCGATGGTCAGTCAGAGCGTGTGATCCAGTACTCGGAGGATATCTTGAGGGCTGTGGTCTTGGACCGAAGCCTGTCTTGGGAGTATGCCCTTCCGCTAGTCGAGCTGACCTACAACAACAGCTACCACTCTTCGATCAAGATGCGCCCATACGAAGCCTTGTACGGACGTAAGGTCTGGACTCCTTTGTATTGGGATGAGGTTGGAGAGAGGAGGATTACCGGACCAGATTTTTTTCAGAGTACTGCCGCGACCGTTGAGGATATCCGAAAGGCCATCAGGTCCGCCCAGGAGAGGCAGAAGGTCTATGCCGACCGGGAGAGGCGTGAGCATGAGTATGCGATGGGAGATCATGTTCTTCTGAAGGTTTCACCCATGCGAGGGGTGATTCGCTTCGGGAAGAAAGGAAAGCTCAAACCTCGCTATATTGGGTCGTTCGAGATCCTCGCCCGAGTCGGGAACTTAGCGTATCGGCTGGCTTTACCACCAGA